TTTAATTTAACATAATACAATATAATATAATAATTTCGGACTACATATTATACTAATTAACATTCAGCATAAAAAATATCACACAATTGGTAAACAATTTCGGACTTTTACTAACACTGATTGTTTATCCTAAGATTTACCAAATCTCGTTTATAAAAGTCTAAACTATAAAAATCATTCGGGGTTTGACTAAACTATTTTGTGTATCCTAGGTTTTACTGAAATCAATCCGTAAATGTCCGAAATTTCTATACACCATATAATTTTCAAAATATTTTGACTCATGTTGAACTATTTATACACATATGAAATTGTCGTTCATTATAATTTTTTTTCGATTAATGTCTATAAAAAAATGTTAGCTTGATCAAAAAACTTGAAAGTATAATACAACATTCCTCATTAGTTGTTGTTAGAGGAAATTTAAAAAAAAGTTGAGCGTAAGTCCACAATAATTTTTTATGAGCGTCTGAATTTCAAATGTTGACAAAAGAGAGCATCACTGATAATTTAAGAATAATATCATAGGCGGAGATTGGGGGGGCTAGGGGGTCTTAGCTCCCCCAAAACGATCCACAGCCCCCGTAAAATTATTTCATACTTTCCTACGAAATATATTGGTGTTTTAATAAAATAATAGTTTTATAACCTTAAATTAGCCGGTAATATTATGCCGTATGGACAAATAAAGAATTTTTACGTTTATATTTGTGGTAACACTGAAAAATAGGTACATAGTTTAAAAATAAAATTCAGATTTTATAATTATTATAATTGTAAAAATTGTTATTATTTAATTTGAATTATTTTCCATGTATTTATGAGGGGGGAGTATATAGGCATAACATATTAACAGTTTAAGCACACCTTCAGGTCACTTTTGTGGAATTATTCTAGCCCGCCCCCCCAAAGAAAAATATCAAATCTCCGCCTATGAATGATATTATGAATAACATTAATTAAACCAGGAGTACGACACTCCGTGAATTGGTCGGATCGGGCGATTGTGGCCTTGAATTTACAAAAGTAAACGAAATCTGAATAATGATTACTGAATGGTAAACAAGCCGACCCCGCACAGCGTACCCAGCCTACTTGACAGTAAACGTTTACATAATACCACTTTGGGTCTAACATCATATTGGTAAACGTTTCCGTGTTTTTCGGAGGTTCAGACTTCAGATCATAGGTAAACAAGACCCCAATCAGCTGATCGAGTGTCGCTTCCATATTGTTCTATGATTAAACTTACCAGCTAGCGTATTGATAACAAGTAATAACAATTTAAAATATCCTAGGCTGACTACCGTCTGCACTCAGAATCGTTTTTTGTATACATTGATATTATATCATTGAATTCAAATTTAAATCCATCCATTACAGAGATCATCTAGACACCTATAATGTATAGCAAATCTATATCCACCTACCCGCTTTTTTTCATCATTTCTTAAACGTCGTGGTATAATTTTCAAAAAATGTTTACCCTCTTTGAGCTATTTGAGCTTGGCAATTTTGTACAAGTTTTCTAATAAGTTGTATTTAAAAATATGGAAAGTATAATCACAGTATTTTTGGCACTTTGCATATCTCAATTTTTTCCAATTCAAGCACTGAGTACAAGTAGTATACAATCGTATGTTGGTACCGCCACATCATCACATATATATGTAGTGCGTGCTTACTTAAAAGTTCTAAAAATCAGAATTAAAGTAGATTCGGTATAGGGAAAAAAGTGTGCGAGCAATTAGAACGTGCTTGTTGAATCACACTGTATAATATGTGCATAATGAATGCGTTTTATTGTTATTACTTTTTGTGTTGCGTAGGTATTTAAAATATTAATGTGAATTTATTGGGTTAAATGTAAACCTAATCAGGTATGCGTTTTTATTTAACGTGACGTACGTCATTAAAATCTTAATTAATCATGATTAATTATTGCACTTGTGCAATTTTCGTTAAACGTCCACCGATTTGATTAAAAAAAAGGACTAATAAATAATAGGTGGGTAATTATCAATACCTCAACATTAACGGCATTACGGTATTGTCGTATGACAATAAATATGAAAACAACGCAGTTCATTAATACCTACACACACGCGATGAAATCTTACTATGAATTTTAATTAACAATTAACACATTCCAAAGATAAATACAACGCTTTCATATAATATATACTGTACGGTGAATAGCACAGCATAGCGTATACATAATTGATAATATTATTATTATATTTATTATTTTGTAGGGTGATGGTCATTCGTTTAAAAATAAAATACGATCGCACACGTGCTTATGTATAAATAAAATACTTCCCATATAGAATTATTTATTTACTGTGTGCACCCATAAGTATCTTCAAAGAGTATACAAATATACAATATAATAATGGTATCTTATGAATTAAAATTTATAATTTGATATGAAAGTTGGGACGCTGGGTAGATAACTAGACGATGGCCTACCTGTATAGGCTATAATTATATTACCAAGTGAAAAGTAACTTTTATTCGTATAATGATCGAACAATACTTTTAAATTATTATTTCATCGCATTCCTCGTCAAAAAAAAAAAACTCCAAAGGTGGATGTTTTATATTAAATCGAATAGACTAATAAAATATGATAAAGGTACCTATAACATAATGAAAAATACAAAACTGCATTTTTCTCAAAACCAATACATTGGTTTCAAGTCACTTTTTCTAAGCAGGGCGGTATAGGTACTTACGAGCATGAATCGTTTTCCAGACAAGCAACGAGTGTATGGAGAGCGTAACAACTACATATATAAAGGACGTTTTTTTGATTACTCGAACAGGGGTAGCAAGGTAAGATATATCGATAAATAGACGGTTGTATTTTTTTCGTAAAAGCAGCCTGCATCACCGCGAGATGTTGTTATGGAGCCCGCATGATGTTTTCTTGTCTATAGCAATATATTAAGGTCCATGCTTACAAGTTATGCATTTGATATTTTGATTTGATGTATTGAACTGTTTGATTTCGTCGTTGTAATTTGATAATAATATATTATACAATGCTTGTATATCACAATGAGTTAAAGTATAGAGGACTAAGACGTAATATGTATCAGGTTTCATGAAACAGGAGCGAAAACCGTATTCCATAAATTTGATTGTCGGACATCAAAATAATAAAATAAAATAGGCGACCAAGTGATTGGTATCGAAAATCAGAATTCAATGCTGATATTTTGTTCTTGGGTAACATGTGTTTATAGTATATTCATATAATATTTGATACATGGATGATAAACGTCTAATAATTGTACAATATGTTATATATTAATTTTTTTTTTAATTTTAATTAGAATTAATGATGATCAACGGTTTTTTGTTTTAATCAATATACATGATTGATGATAGCTGGACGATGGACCGTGGACAACGATAACATGCAAACATCAGAAAAATGTTTCGATTCTTATAATTATTACCAATTTACTATAGGACATACTGCTGTGGGACATTATCGTATCTAATAATTTTATATGCTCATCAAAACTGAAAAGTCGTAGGTAGTTTACTTTTGAATATAATATTACATACCTATATACATATATACATATGTAAATATATATACCTATATATGTATAGCATAGAACAATATATATACCTATATATGTATAGCATAGAACAATATTGTTCTATGATTAGGCAGTTCAATAATGATTGATAAAATACACATTCCTTCTACATTATACGTATAATCCTAAATATATTATAGGTATTATACGTCTCAAATAGGTAATATTTACACGAATGATTTAGGACCATATACAACTGTTAATGACCTATGTAACTGGTTCATAATATTATAAAATAACAAATTTACTTTAGTATATAATAAAATACCGGATATTAAATGATGTACCTACTGTAAACGGTTATTATTTTTAATATTTAAAAATGTTTTAATTGGAATGATATCGTCGATTAGTCGCATTGAAAATAGTCCTAGTGATGTACCTCTGTAGGTACTATTCAAAATCGACATATAGGTATAATATTTCAACTATAGAATTATTATATATTTTGTTAAACTATCATACTGTATTTACGTGTTGATCGTGCGTTGTGATTAATTATATACAAATACGATCCACTACATAACTATTAGGGCAATATCTGCCCTACAAAACCTTAAAATATGCAAGCCATTTATACCCTAAAAAAATCACTAATATGCTATTGAAATATGCATTTAAAAAAAATAAAAATCATAGTATTGAATAAGACTTTTTATTTTAATATGTAGATTTGTTTTCTTCTTACATCGGGTTTAAATCTAAAATAAAAATTTTTAATTTATTAAAAAAAACTGAATTCATTTTTATATTTTTAATGTAATACTAATTACCTTGAGCATTACATTGAACTACTAGATATTTTCTTAAGTCGGAAGACACAAACACCAATTTGAAAATATTTATTTCCTATAAAATATAAAACCATTTTACTAATATCTCAGGTGCAGGAAATCTATTTGAAATTAAGTTTTTTTTTATAAAATTATGTAAATAATTTGAAAGCATTTATTTTATAAAAACGAAAACCTCGTCAAGGTCAACTATAAATTTTAAATATAAATTCGTATTGCTACGAAACAAATTTGTATTTTACTCGGGCACGTTTTCAATGATCGTCATCGAAACACATGCAAACTCCTCGGAAAAGTCCCTAGCCCCGACGATATTACCCTATACATCACACTTGTAACGATAATATAGCAGCAGGTAAACTACAGTAATTGGATGTTTTTTTGGATTTTCGATTTGATACGCGGCAGGTTCCTGTAGGCTGTAGTGATGCAATAATGTTCACAACACGACTCGGCTAAATCACGCGCGGCTCGGAAACGCGCCGCTGCGACGGACGGCGTTTTCGGCGCACAAAAAAAAAATAATAAAAATGCCTCGGCCGCGCGCATCTTGCGCAGTGCGTTGCGTACAATATTATGGGCGGCGTGTGTTTAACATCCTCAACCGAATACAACATGTGAATACAGTAGTCGACGCCAACTGTCGGGGGCGTAGGACGTGATTTGTTTTCGGCTTGTTTTTTTTGTTGTTATTATTCGTCGTCGTCGCCGTAGCACACGCATCGCACTATTATTATTATAAATTATTTTTTTCTTATCACAATCGTCGTCGCCGAAAGTCAACGGCGTTTCGGAAGCGGCGGCGGCCGCCGAGGGGAACGATGCGCTTTTGAGATTTGAAAACACAGAATCACATCATCGTTATTATATACACCAGGTACGTCAGAATACAATTTATTTTTATTATATGGGTGGTCGCGCGGTTTATCGAACTCGCCTAGTACTGCCACTGTTGCTATATGTGCACTGCAGAATGATAAAACGTAATAACACACATTGTGCGCCAGAAAACTATATGCTCGTATCGAGTAGGCGTATAATATATAGTGGTTTGGTCGGTGTATCGGATCGTTTTTCGAATTCGCCGATAGAAATTAATTTTTATTCTCGACACAAAACCTAACAGAACGGTTTACGCCGCGCGTTATCGTAGATGCGTGTTGTTTTCCCTTTTTTCACACTCCTGACGACATTATTTATAGACATCCCTTACACCTATGCATGATATAGGCGCTATCTCGACTACGATGATAATATTATTTCGCAGAGCTACGCCAGTGCGGTTTAAAACGCCGCCCAGTCTTAAGCCCAGCGATTCAAATATAATATATATTACCACGTACCCACAGTCCACATAATTACGATTTCTAATAAACGATTTTCATATTATCGTGTATACACGCGCGCCATTGTATTACATTATTAATTATTATAGGTATATTATGGTATTCATAGTGTTATCCACACACGGCCGCACCTTTGACCCGGTATACTATATGTACAGTGGTGTTTGCAGCCGCGGTAGTCGAAGCCTCCGATTAACGAACCAAATAATAAAACGCGATTGCGTTGCCAAACCCGATCATAATATTATAATATATTGTACGACTGGTGTAACACTACTACGTACAAATATGAGTATAACATGAATATAACACTACTACTACTACTACTACTACTACTACTACTACTATATATGTATATCATACGCGATACGTGTAAATGTGCAATACATATATTATGATATGTGAATTGTGTGTGTGTGTGTAGAACTGCGTGGGCCGACGTTTCCAGAAACGAATTCGATTAGAACCGTCCGCGGACGATTTGTTCGACGATTTTTTAATTGCCAGTAATTAAATCAGCGTCCGACCATAATCGCGTGTTACATTTTTTTATTTTTTTTTTATTCATCATTGGATTAACGAACCGCATCCTGGACACGTCTGTCCGCGTGTCCGAAATCCGTGCCGTCCCGGGTCCGAGATCTGTGTGTCTGTCTGTAATATTATTATTATTATCATCATCGTCATATACAGCTGCTCAGTGTCACTGACTGCACTTAGACATATATATTATGAACGATATGTTGTAAATGGTATTGTACTGACGAGCACGTTTCGTGACCCAGCCCGCCTCCATGGGGTTTGATTGTCTTTCAATTTAAGTCGTCGTCGTCGTCGTCTGAGCTGAACAGGGACCCCTCGTCTTATTTCGAAACGCGCGATTGACAATATATACTCGATATAGCCAACCCGTTTGTATAGCGAGTGAGTGTGCGTGTGTGTGTGCGTGCTGCCTGCGATAGTCGCCAGATGTTGGACGATGCTTATAATATGAGTGTGTGTGTGTGTGTGTGTGTGTGTGTGTGTGTGTGTGTGTGTGTGTGTGTGTGTGTGTATAAGCTGCAGGCACCTTAGTGTATATAGAATAAGATGATCCTATAACAATATTATATATTATTCAGGACGAAATTCTTACAGGGCGATCATGAGATTTGCGAGATCGATCGATCCAATAGCCATAATAATATTATATTTACTTGAAAACGGCTGGGTTTGATGCTTTGTGTAGAGGTGTTTACATAATTATGATATAATATCATGTCAATGTGTAGTCGGATTAAGATATCGGATATATTTTATCATATATCTTATAAAAATAGTTTCGGATTTAGCTTTCAACGGGATGGTTATTTTTACCTACTAGCAAAAATGACTAGACATTTTTCTCACAGAAAATCAAATATAAAAACTTATATTTGCTATCTAAAATAACTCTCATTGTTGATGTTTAAATATTTTTCAGTATTAAACAATCGTTCGTTTATCTCGCTATACCTACCTATCGAATTGTGGGAATTTAATCATTAGGACATTTATATACATAGATCCTTAAACGTTTTGATGAACAACTTGTTTGTTAATCAGAGTAAATATGATTAGTTTAGTGTAATCTTTTGACCTGTGTAATGTTGATAAAAAGAAGACCATCCTAATAGGACTGTAACGAGAAATAGGACTAGAATTATTATCCAGTTACAAGTTAACAACATAATACTTATATTTTATAAAGATGATTTTAATTTATAGCCAACCTTTTAATTTTTGATTTCTTTTAAAACTGTATTAACATCGATTACAAATATTCTTTTGACTGAAATAGAAAGTCGTTTATGATCGTATAATCATACTTATTCGGAGGGCTGAAACCCAGGCTCTATTTTCTCATTTAATAAACAAATTTAAATCAACCCACTTGAATGATTTCAAGCATATAACGGTAGTTTAGGTTTGATTATTAATTAATACATTTTTTTTTAATTTATAAATATATTACAAGTGCCCATTTCCATAATAAGTACCTACATTGTGAGTTTTGAGTGGCTAGCTTTGAAATGTAGAGTGCTTCGCCAGTAGGTTCATATCCGCCAATGTTCACAATGATATTATCTATAAATAAACAATATGGAGGTATGTGAACATAATACAACATGACATGGTGATTGGAAACCAATAGGTATAATAGCTTTTATGTGCACACATAATCAACAATCAAGTAAATACGGATGTTTGATTTAACATTATCATATCTGTTAATTCCAATCCGTTATTTTTTAACGAGATAATAATCGTTTGATTTGCGTGGTAGATTGAAATAAAAAAATAATCCGAATATTCAATGCGAATTAGAAGCAATATTTAAACATAATGTATGGGAATTAAAATATTATTTGTAGAGTAAAAAATTTATAGCTTTGTAATATCGACATCAATCATACTTTTATATTATTTTATTTATTTATTTATTTAAATTATTTACTTTATAATATAGTCGCATTAATCATTATTCATTACCCATTCACCACTACACACATTCATAAATTATAAGTTATAAGTAAAAACCTTAAGCTTTACTATTGCAAAAAATAATATTTATATATTTCAATCGTGGGTACCTATTGTACTGCAGGGTTAAGGTATGTAACATATATTATTTTGAAATATAGAGAGGCTTAATAGTAGTACTTGAGATAATATACTTATAGACAATCGAAAATGTCTATGGATGCATTATATCAATCTCTAATAAAGTCAATAATAATGTTCTATAATTATACTGCATCCAAAAAACATAATTATAAGTTTAACACTTAACATTTGAGTACCAACATAAAAAAAACATATTTTTTTCAATTCAAAATTAAAATGATTTTTATTGAACACATTTCTGACTGATAGATACTAGTATTATAATTATGACTACGCTGCCACAAAAGCCATGTGCAGTCATTAACAGGTCAATAATACGTTATTCAAAATAACACTTTCAAACTCGATAAAAAAAAATATCAATCATTGGAGATCTAATGATGTTCATAGATCGAATCTAGAACGAATACAATAACAGTTTATGATAAGGTGCACATGTGTTCTATAACGTAATCCATTGAGTCTAAATTCCTTAAATTTAAACGCATGACCATTAACATTATCCATTAATTTTCTGGCAACGAGAGGTGATGTAAAATAACGTACACTTAAACATTCTAAACATCGTTCTTTATGTTCTGTGCTTCTTTGTTATTATAGTTACATGAACTGGTAGATATACATCAAATGTTAATAATAATAATTGTTTAATTAAAAGATTCAAAAGAGCCAACACATTAAAAAAAATATATATAAAATATCTAGAAAATGTTAAGAATTTGATAAAAAATTCAAATCTAAATCTTTAAGTTGAATGTAATTTCTTTCCGTATTACAAATAAAAACAAAATGGATTTTGCCTAAACTCATTTTAACGAGTAGGCTCATAAATTAATTAGCAATGTTAAAATAACTATTTAATAACTACATTTAACACGATATCACATGTAAAATAAATTTTTTTCCCAAACAACCTTTAATTTATTGTAATTCAAAAAATATTAATCGTTGAAACTTGAAACATTTTACTATCACTTTAAATTACAATAATTTAAAGGATCTGAAACTTTTCAAAATATTTGGATTAATTTTAAGCTATCTATACCGTGATCCTATTCACACTTTTCTGCGGTACATTGGTAGATATTGACTTGAGTGTTAATATAACTGCAGTTATAATTATATTATGTACATGAATATTATTTCATTATAATTACGAAATTACTAGGTGTGCAATGCATACAATTTGTTTTTGTTCTAAGCTTTTAACAGACAAAGTAATATAATTCCTAGTAACAAGCCCGGATTAATGGTAGGGGGTTCCAGGGGAAGCCGTGTCCCCCGGACCTCGATAGTTGGAATTTATTTAATGGTCTCAGATTTTTCCATTACTTATTTCGATAAAATCTATATCGAAAAAATCGACGATTATTCAAAATGTAATATAGGCATAAACTTATAAATGTTAACTACATAGTACATACCTATAATTTATATTAAAAATTATAGACTAGTGCAATAGTACTTGATACTATACAGACATACAAGCAATTGAATCAGATAAAAAAAATGTATTTAACTATACGCCAAGTTCATACTGTTTAACCGAAAGAGCTTTTTCAAAATTCAATAGAGTTATGAATAAAATACAGATCAACATTAAACTAAGAAAATTTGACTGCGTCTATGGTACTGGCATCTGAAAACGATATTCTTCAAACAATTATTAAAGAATTTTGTTAAACAAAAGTGAGGGAAAAATCTTTTAAATTATAATTCATAAGTAATATATGATACGGTTATTAATTATTTGTTGAAAAGTACTATAAATATATTTATTATAATAATTAATAGCTGGTATATAAATATATATATAATACAAACATCATTAATTTTTTTTCGTACAGGGACCCATTTAAAACTTTGGCCCATAGGCCTCAAAATGTCTTAATCCGGGCTTGGTAAGTAATTAGCAATAACTGTATTACTATTAGGTATTACAATTAACAAACAATAACAATACAAATATATATTATATTTAAAAAGGTATATCCTTAAGAATACACCGCTGCATCTACTGAGCGACTTCACCTGTTTTTTATTTTGTTTTAAATGCTGCAGAAAACAAAACGTGTATAAATAATATGTGTTTACATTTTCTACATCCCCTAATCCAAGTTTGTGACACCCCAGACGAAAATCTTTGTTCTAGACAGACATTTCATTCGAATATTTGCCGTTGATTGGTTCAAACGACAAACGTCGAGTCGTACAATACGTAATCTGAATTTCTGAACCATCGTTGTTTTAGAAATTCGGATCATTGTTCACCGGTGTTCACAACAATGTTAATATTATAATGACCAAAAATATATAATATTCCTTACGTCCTTACACCTCACACAATATAATACTCGTAGTACGCCGATGATACTAAATCATTTTATATAATGTACGACGTTGTCATATTCTTTTATTTATTTATTAATATTATTGTTATTATTTTTTTATAGATTTCCAGAAAATCAGTGGCACAATGGACACGGCAATGGGTAAGTAGCGTTGGTGGCGGTTATAATATTATATGTTCAATGATATAACTTATACGCTACACATGCACTCGTGTGCATAGTAAACAAGAAGACCACCACACCATATATACATATATGATACGCACACACGCACACGTGCGCTTGCACACACACAATGCCCATTAAATCGCCCTTCCTGCATATAAAACATCCCCGTGACTAGAAATACTTAATCGATTATAATATATAATTTTTATCATCGTTATTATTATTATAATATATTTAGAAAACGTTTTCTTTTCAAGACTCACGGTTACTGTTTTTTTTTTTTTTTTTGAAACAGCCGACCATTATAGTGCGTGCCACCGCACGGAGATCTCGTTATACATATAAGTAGTGAGTACATCCGCCGATGTCCTCTGCCATTAAGATCGTCCATGCCCGTTAAACGAGGGACATGTAATATATTGCTGTACCATAATTATTGTGTGCCGCATTATCAAATTATTTTCTGATAAAATATTACATACGATTTACTGTGTTTTAGGCACACGTCTCAATCTATCGTCCTACGACCGCCGAGATGTAGATTATAATTATAATAATATAGCTGATGTACCGATACGACCCTAACCATGTGATAACAATATCTTCCTAGCTCTGGCGAACCCGGTTTTGTCACCACAGTGATATTTTATGAACCTCACAGCCTAATATCTATACTCATCACACGCGTCTAGTTGTATAGTTCCATCGAGATTATAATATCAACCCGTCACGATGGCGTACGATGAAACGTACTAATAATATTATATTCGTAGGTTCCTCTATTGGCTATATATTGTGTATGCACTCCAAACACCATTAATGCGTCCGGACGCGTTTTTGATAATATAATTATATTATATGTTCGAAAAACGCGTGTACAGCCAACGTTCGCTAAATATGGACGGCATTGTGTGCAGTTACAGTGGGATTATTATGTTTCCCGATATTCGTATTTCACCTCAAAATTCCGTCAAGATGTCTGGTGCATACGGGGTCCGGTTTCCTGTCGGTGACGGCGGGCGGCGAGTCAAAAGGCGCACGACCGCGTGTTTGTACAATGGGGCCCCTGCTGCAGAAGGTCGGTCTTTTTACGACCCGAACCGAACTGGTGGGCCGGCGGGGGTGGGCGGTCGGGTGGGGGAGGTGGAAGAGTATTGCACACACGATCGGTGCCATGTGTAAATCGTTTACGAACAGCGTGCACGCGGACGGTTACCACCAGCCTACCGAAAAGTTATAACCCCGAAGAAAAGATTCAATCTGGACAACGTCATTATGCTATTGTTTACGGAGAAAAAAATATGTATATACACGACGCAGTGCGTGTACGTAGGATGTCTACCATATAATAATATATATATTCACACAAAAATACAATATTAGTATTTTAAACATGTACGGTAAAAAAAAAAAAACATTAAAAAAAAGTAATCCCTAAAATAGGCGTGTAAAAAATAAATAATCAACGAGTATTGTGCATGTAGCGTATATAATATATTACGTATATATATAAAGGATAACTATGTATATAAAAAGGATAACTACATATATGTATATAACTGTTTATCATTGTAGACAACCCTTCTTATTTCGCGTTGAACCAAGGACTGCGGAGGGTGGTCCCGCTGGCTGATAGGCAGAGGATGGCCAGGAACAAAACAGAGACGGGATCAATGGGCAGGACCAGAAAGACAGATAGGAGCGGTAACAAGTGCCTAACGAGGTCCTTTAGCGCTAACATTGAAGAAGCCAGATTACTGGTGATGGGACAGCCCAGGCCGGCAGACGTTGCACCCTCAGTTAAGCACAGGAGACACGCCAGCACAGGTCACAAGGTAAGGTTATTTTTATTCTTACTGACAGTAATTCGAGGCCAGAGACTTAATCATATTATAACATATACCTACACTAGAATTATACGATATAATATCTATATGTGTACACAAATTACTAAAAATAATTTTAAGTATTTCTAAATCATAATTTGAAAAATTAAAGCCAACTAAAAGTCTTTATAAAAAATAAAAAATCATTTAGAGTCTAGACAATAAAATTAGGCCACTAAAAAAATTGGTAAAAACAAAAAACAATGCATTTTTGTCTGACAATCATAATAGTTTTATTATCTTTACATAAATCGACGTTATAAGTGCATAAAATATTATGATTTATACGAAGAGAAGGCGGTAGATTTAGTTAGGTAACATTTTACAGGTAAAAAAATTAACCGTACGTCCATACCTACTATTTAGTATTTACTAACTTTTTTTAAAATTTATTTCTTTTTTTCACTACTCAAAATGATATGTGAAAATGATATGTGACTCCTGCTTAATTGATTAGGATATCTTATAATATATGTTTTCGATATTGTCATTAGCACCCATCAAACGATGAACCGCATATTATACTAAGACTGAGTTGTGGTTAAATAGTAAAACTCTTTTTTTTTTAAAAAATATATTTTGAACGATATCAATTTGAATAATATAAGACATTGTAATCTTTTCATACACCATTAATACAGCAGTACAAGAAAATAGTTTTCGGACACCTAAACTTGTTGTATTTTTATTGTACTAATGTGTGTGCGTGTTGAATTGAGTATTATAATAGTGTAGTATCGTACCTATATATAGGTATACTGTAATTTTTTTCATCAAACTTTCGAATGAATTCTTCTATTATTCAATTAATCAAATAATTCCTACTTGATATATAACTTGCAGGAATAATGATAACATCTATGTATTTTTAAATCGTTGACTATTGTTTTTTAAGTATAATATTTTACTAACCACTCGATGATTATTCTATCATAAATATTGTTTAATGAGTTTAATTTATGAAATATAATCGTAGATCATCATAATTTATAAAATAATATTATAAATTCGTATATATAACGCGTATTAGATACATTTTGTAAAGACATATGTAACAACTAACAAGTAAGGATACTATGTAAAGATTCTTGAACAAATAGGGTGCGTGGTGTGTTTAGGAGTAGTCATACAAATGACAGGTCGAGATTTAAGAGTGATGATACAACACAGTCATTTTAAACACGATTTCAAATCGTCACTATAGTAAAACGATTGTCTTTGTACAAATATAAAACATTGTACTTAGAAAAGATTAGTTTTATTTAAAAAGTGGGTATAATATGTAATAATGTGTAATATTGTAATAATAAATATAATATGATATTTATAGTAAGAACTCAAGCATTAAATCACCACTACTAGATTAACTATTGATAAATATATTATATGCGATGTGTGTTCGTTCCAATAATAGAAAAATAGAAAAATAGTTCAATAAACCAGGAATGATTTGATATTTCCCAACTAAAATATATTAATAATAAATCATTAGTCAATTGTGAACACTGTCAATGAACAGCTGGTAATTCAAACTGATTCTTGTGTTGTTCCCAACTGTAATCAAATATTATTAAACTTGTCAACAATGTCAATGCCGGTTGTTGGGCTATATTTCAGTCTATAAGTCTATAACTGCATAATTTATAGGAAAGAAATAGGTTCTAAACATACACCACGATGATAAATGTAATACATATACCTATTTGTTTGGAAAGTCATAAAAGTCCGACAAATAGTTTTTCTTACACGAGTTGACAACTGTATAAACACAAACCATATAATCCAAAAATAACACAATACTATACACAATGGGGTAACGTTTTTTTTTAAAGCGATCCCTCATATATTCTTATCTTAAAGATTATAAAAAAAAAAATTCTTGGTAAAAAAAACGTCTTTGGCAAAGGGCTTTTTTCTTATCATTATTAGTTTAAACAGTAGCAGGTCTGGGAGACGGATTATTTGGCACTTGTTTATGTGTTTCAAGGCTAAGGTTAAGATTAAAACAAATTGACACAAAAAAACCTCATACAGTGTACATTTTTAAACAATGGATAATGTAATGGTATTTAAGTTCAAGCTTTGCGCAATTTATTTACCGGAATTTCGTAATAATTATCATAATATATTATGTACATTTGTAATCGGATCTCAAAAGTCAAAGTTACTATTGAATACAGGAAAGTTAATCCAGCAATTTCATTTTGGTATTAATTAAGCCATTATGTTTTTTATATAAATATAATCACTGTACACTTTCAAGCGATTTTAATATCGTATATCCATAAAAGTAGAGATATCTATACCTAATTTTTGATGTATATTATAGTAGAGATCAATATTATATGGTGTATCACATTTATTTTTAAAATATCCACTCGATGATCAAAATATAATCGTCAATAATGTTAACCATTACCTTCCTTATTATATTATAATGTTTGTGCATATCATAATATCTTAAACTTATCCATATGGCTATATGAGGTAACTATATATATATATATATTCATATATCACATCGGTGTACTAAACTAGTAATAACTGCTGCAGTATAATATTATACATACCTACCTAATTTTATTTATGTATAACATTATACTCTCTGATACTCGCTGCTGTGGATGATTTTCGTTTATTACGGTCACGCAATTACTCATCATTATATGCAGCAGCCGACGTGTAAATATTATTGCCGAAAACAGACGGAAATCTAATCACGATTTATTTCTGCACAGGATTCGCTACAACACGACTTGGTTCACTGCGATCTACAACCCGACGGTGACGTTTTCTTCAGCAGCAGCGGTGACGTGCGGTATAGCAACCTGAAAGCCACTGTCCGAGGGGGCCGAAGACACTCGATAAGCTCGTTCGGAAATTATTCCAGCAGACGTCCGCTGAGTGACTGCATGGCGAAATCCCCTCGAGTTGCCGGCGACTTCAGAGGTAATCCATTGTTTCAGTACACCTGTTACCTACCAAAAACTATACGATAGGATTGTGCTTTTTATGTTTGGTTTCGTGCCAAAAAACCATGTTCAGCTCATCATCGCGCTACGTATATTATTACACGATAAATCGTTTTATTTCCGTGCAAATTGTACATGCAACCGGACGATGTGTCTTATATTGTGAAATGTACAGAGTGTCCCGTAAACTTTGCGCTTTTCACAAAATGAACAAATCAGTAAAATCCATCCGCATATTTACATTCGTCAATATCTGGGATTTAACAATGAAAAACAATATCCGTCATAGGTATTACGACCCCATCCAAAAACCAAAAGCCAAAAGAGCTCCACCAAATTCTTAAATGCGTACTTTGTGACACACTCTGTATATAATAAATAATAATAATGATTTTATTGGAATATTGGACTGTGGGAAATTAATACGACCAAGTATTTTACCGATAAAATTGTATTTGCGCATTGTTTTTAAAACTATTATAATATACTGCAGCACGACGGTTGAGAAGTTATATTAGTAATAATTATTAATCAAGAAGAATTATGAAATCGCGAATTCCTGATACATATAAATAATGTGCAATTGGATTGGTTTATTTTTCTATCGGTTCAGTTATAATTTATGATTTATCTTGATGGACGTTCTTATTTGCCAAGCTTATATTTAATATTTATGCTTAAATAATAATACCAATGGTATTTTGAAATAATGCAGGTTATTATATGCACCTTATAAACTATTTAACATAATATCATATGTAAACTAAAATACAGAGTGTCGCTGTTTGAAAGTTGACTTTTCTCGTCAGTTTGTATTCATAAATTGTTAATAAAGTAATTAATAAAATAAAATGCAGAATCATATTATGCATTCAGCCGATAACCCTGAGAGAACGGTTACAAGGTATAAGTTCTAAGTTTATTAATAAACTAATATAGGATTTTAAATATTTAAATCGTGTAAAACATCGTGGAATAACTGAACAGAGCTCAACAATCGCTCAAATACTTAAAAATGAAATTATAATGCATTAATTCAAATCGTATTACAATGTAATATAATACTGATTCCATGCGGTAATTTATATTTTTTACCACTCTTTAAAACATTAAAACTGTATTAACTGTAAAGTGCAATATCACAAAAAAACGAGGTCAAGCTAAATGAGTAGCAAACGTGGATTACAGAATTGTATTTTTAGAGTAAAAATCTACAAGTGCATACACTTTCTATCACAAGAAAGCATTAAAATGCTTTCTTGTGAATTTTCACTAGATACATTTATAATTGTATAATAATATTTCATCTTATCAGTGTCCGTATATTATGAATTATTGAATTGAGATTCAATTTTGGAAAAAAAATATGTTTAATAACTTATACAATGTAGGTATACATACATAGTTTTACTTTTTAGGTATACATAATAGTAAATATTATTAGTGTACTAGTAAATGTAAAATACAAATTGATAAGCAATATGTATTTAATAACTGTAAACAAAAAACGTTAATTAAGTACCTAGTACAGAATAAAATAATAGTACCTAAAATGTTAAAAATATGATTTTCAACTCACTTTAATACAAATCGGAGATTGAATAATTACTAGTAAAATTAATGACAAAATATACCATAAACTTTTCAGTATTGATTAAATATTATTTCTCATATACTTATCAAAGTAAAATATCATAAAAATAATCCTTAAATTATGTAATTTGATATTTTTTTTACAATATAACTTATAAGATGTTATGATAGCTATTCATAATGTCAAATTCAATAATACGATTTTATTATAATATTGCTTAGCGCTTATTGATACAGTATAATACAATATAAGTTCACCGTTGTACTGAGCACGACTATTAAAAAACATCATAGACTTGTTTGGAGAGCTTTGAAGTTTTTCTCGGGTTATTTTTAGGAAATTGATATTTTTTGATTGTTATATTCGTTTACGTTTTATTGTATGTGTATAATATACATAGGATTTATGCCGGGGAAACTTTCGTAACGTCTCGGAGTGTAGTTCCTGTATACAAACATTTCCATAAGAAAAAATCTACTGTTGGCTAAACAAAACAGCCGTCTACCGGTCTGAGCATGCGCACGAGAGGAGGGTGACTGTTGAGTAGGGAAGTGTTGCTTAAAATAGTTTCGGTCCGCCACTTTCGTGGCACGTGTTCCCTCGGTGGTACACTATGAGGATGTTTATTTCCGTACCTGCAGATGGAACTAAAATGTTTGCTAAACGATTATATAAATAACGAGAAAAAAAGGGTTGACGATGTATGCAATTGTAGTTTATGTGCGTACTGTGTAACGTGTACCGTATACATATTATTTCGAGAGACGATTAATTTTTTTATTACAAGCCGTTTCCTTCTGGTACGCAACACATACGACACACGTGTGCATATCATGGCTCTCCGGACTACGGCTGGCGTCTAGCGAGAGTTTCGTTTTTTTTTCGACGGCACGGCGTCGACGTCTACAACCTATAGTACAACAATCAATAAATAATAATGAATAATTTTATTTCTTGATATTGTTACAATAATCATCGTCAATCGTCTGTAAAGACGATATAAGTGGAGTATCGATGTTTAAATTATGAAGTGTATACAGGGCGATTCACCGAGCGTAGTGCTCACAAGTCACCTGCAGGACTCTGCAGTTGTATTATACAAGGGGTTGTATCCTGTATTTAAAATTCTGTAGTAATATGTATTCATTAAATGACTGATTTTTACAATATTCAATGTACCGATCGATTTAACAAAATATTCGAGAACCGTATTTTTGAATGCTGAGATTGAAAACAATTTAAGGGGCGTCTTCTGGTATTCTTTTTAAAAATGGAAACCACCCTGTCTTATTGCACCTTGTTAAGTGCATGATATTTTGTTTTTATAAAAATTTATTTATATATCCGAGTGGAGATTTAAACGAGTTTCCGAGTAGTTAAAATGTATATTACATATACATATATTTATTCATAAGGAATAATGATTTAATGATTAACAGTCCTTAATAATGGTTTTACATACTTACATATAATATTAATTACCTAGTCTAGTACTTATTCGGTTATAAAATGTCAGTTGATCAATATTAATTATTATAGTTTTAAAATCATCATAGCCATAATATCTTCTTAACCTACTATCGCAGACTAGAACTACTATCCTTACTCCTTAGTACCTTAAGTTTAATACTTGTTTACCTCATTAACTACATGTTCAAATTTAGATTTTCTTTATTTTTAAAATAATATTTAAATTCTGGGCTGGAACAGCACAATCAGCAAATATGAGAAGTAATAATACATTTTAACCGTGAATAATACGAGAAGGGGGCCCAACCAGCGATGGAACCCAACGTCATACATTTTAGGTTAATACATTTCTACAATATTTTCTTTTGAGTCGATGAGTGGTCGTATGTGTCGTGTATTGGTTGAGATTTTCGATACTAACGAGTTAGTATGGAATTAATGTAGATTGGAGTGATCTGTAATTTTGGTAGCTAATTGTATTGGACAACTAGTCTGATTTTAAGGTCGGAGATTAGTGTGGTGTTATATACAATTGAGGTTATTAAACGTAGAGTAATCGACTGGAATGCTTGCATAGTGTGAATTTGGGACGACTTAAGACAGTCGCAAATTTGGATCGGACATTTGCTCATATGGGTTTAACGTACATAAACAGATTTGTCTGGATTTATTTTAATTCACCGCTTAGTTGCCCAGTTGTCAATTGAATCTAAGTGGATTTATAGTAGGTTGGATGTTTTGTCAGGGTCATTGATAACTATAGTTTTTCGGTGACGTCCGAGTAAGTGACCATGATATTGTGTTTGTTGTAACAGGTATGTCAGCAGTATAAACTATAAATATTAAATATATCAAGAGAGAGGTTACTACCTTATATTACCTTATATGACTACCTTGGGGTAAACCAGCTTGAATGCAGAAGTTGGATGAGTATGAGTTTCCACATCGGATATTTAGACTTAGAAAATTTGTTTTCTTAAAAACGTGTTGTTTTAATATTTCCGTTTTCAGAAAATTATTTTGAAAAATGTTTACTTCACCAACTAAATTCGTTTTTCTACCAGAAACCACACTTAAATTTGATGTTTTTGAACTATTTTTACTATTCAAAATCAAAACGAGATGACTTATGACACACACAAAAAAATCTCATTCATATGAACGTATTATAAGTAGGCAAGTAGAATGGCACAAGTTATTTTTTCTCTGCAAGGAAAATTGAGGGGTCATAGATATGTTTATGGGTTTATTGCAGTGTACAATTATTTAGTAACATGCTACATTTTGTTAGGAATTAAATTAAATTCTTTTTTTATTATTGACTCTTGAAAATCGGTTTTGAAAAAAAGTTGAACCTGGTCCAAAAACGTATCGATGTTAAAATAAAAAAATATACACATCATTAAAAAACCAATCAATTGCTCCGGTCAGAATCGGTCAGTACCTATATAGATACTTAAAAATTCCAAAAACCAGATTAGGTATGTATAAATTCATAATTAACGAAAGAAAAATGGTGCCGAACACTCTTTAGTGAATCACCCTGTACACTTATAGTTTATATTGTCATAATCACGTTAGGAAACAAAATATAATAAAATGTTTTATACTGGCGCCAAATGAAATAAAATCGTGATTAGAAGTATCGATGATTCTATGAAATTCGCAGGTACCTACAAGTTACAACAACAGTGAACAATTTACATTTTATTTATTTTATGTTACAATAAATTATAAAGTTATGAAACGGACCTATCCAAATAGTATTACTCAATATCAATATTGTCGCTGATGTGTTGCAGTTTTGTACCTATACATGGTAGTTTAATTACAATTTTATAGAGTTCACTTATGTTAGTTAATTTGTCTACACTAAAATGTTAATTTTTCATAATTCTCTATTCATAATTAGT